TGGATGCTAACTACCCATCTGCAAGAGGGGTCTGACTGCTAACATATTCACTTTATAAATGAAATCAGGAGCTGCGCATGCACGCCTAAAATGGTGGACGCATTTTAGAGCGGCTCCACTTCGATCCATCTCCCCCCGGCTCGCTTGCCGGATGAAATCCACCATCTAAACTTTAAAAAGGAATGGGAACAACAAGAGTGAAAAAGAAGACCGTAACTCCTACAAAAAATCAGTCTCTGCGTATTTCCCGAGGAATAGGGCAGCGACAGATCAGGACACTACTGCTCTTAAAATGGCGGCCGCGGTGAGTATCGTGGACTCGGAAAGGGAGCAGATTTGCAAAAAAGATCTTCAAGAACTAAGGGATGACATTCAGAGCTCTTTTAAATCGGCAGTGAAGGAACTCTTGCAACCGGTACAGGTTAAGCTCGACGAATTAACAGACGGCTTGGGGAACGCTTTTAAGGCAGCCGAATCTGCTTTGGAAACTGCAGAAGCCTTACAACTTGAAATGAAGGAGGTACAAACAACAGAAAAGTTGTTGCAGTCAAAAATTTTATCCCTGGAAGGGAAATGGCGACAATCCAATCTGAAAATACGTGGAATCAAGGAAGGTGCGGAAGGTAACACCGATTTAGCTGTTTTTATCTCATCATGGCTGGCAAAATGGCTCAACTTAGAAGAAGGCACAGCACCAGCACTAGCCAGGGCATACCGGTTGGGCCCTCAGATGGCGGCCCGCCAAAATCACCCTAATTCAATTTGTGTATGCTAGAATGAGGGACAAAATCCTAAAAGAAGCAAGGCAAAGGCAAGCTCTTACTTTAAATGGGAAGAAAATCTTAGTCCTGTTGGACCTCCCATTGGAGACTTTAGAAAAGAGACGTCTCTTAAAAATCATATCTTCTAAACTGCTTAGTGAAAAAATACGTTTTCGCTGGAGCCCAACGTCCGGTATCACAGTATATAGAGACGGATCATTATTCCAAGCCTCAGATCTCAGAACAGGACTAGCACTTCTGGCATCTCTCAAAGTTAAACTCACACCAGAAGAGGAAGCCGAAATTAAAGAACACCCAGCTTTCCAAAAGGACTCTCCAGTAAATACTTGAACATTACTTCAGGTTTAGTTGTACTTTTTGGTGCATTAAGGATGACAAGCAGTGTGTTTAAACACATTAGTTTAAAACTTGAATGCTCAATTTTTATTAGTTCTCTAATGTCTGATATTGCTATTGTTACTATTCTATGAAACGTTATATGCTATTTAACAATCTGATTGCTCACCTTGGTGCATTTTGGTAGCAAAATCTGAGTTTATACAGGAAATTATTAGTCTAAATATATGTTTTTTCAGCACATCATCCTGTGTTAAGTTTAATTAAGATGTTAAACCTTAAAAGGGGGAAATAATGTTATCTAGTATTACTGACAATTTAATTCCTTTTAGCTTTGTGGAAAGGATTTATTATTGTATGGCAATTGTTATAGCTCAAAGTTACTATGACATGTTTCTAGACATGACACCATTAAGATTATGGGTGGTTAAAGTTAAAATCTTTAGATGGTGAAATTTAAATTGTTTTCTGGTTATGATCGGGGGGATGGTGGTGGTTGAATATATCTTAACTAAGTTAATAGCTATGTAAGCTTAACAAAAGTACCAGGTAGGGGGTACATTTTAGACTCCCTGGCTTTGTCCTTTGAGACAAAGCACCTGTATCTAGTCCTCTAGGAAGGGCTGTATTGTTTCATTAAAAAAATTAATATTCAAAACTTTTGGAGAGCTGTGGCTCTAGAATTTGGTTACAAGTTTTAGAAAAAAGTTTTATTAGGTGTATAAAGTGTTTATAAATTTTTATTGAAAATGTTTTGATTTATTTTAATGGTTATTTATTGTTATTGAAAAATTAATAAAAAATAAAGTAAAAAAACACAAATGAAATCAGGGACCAGTACCTGAATAGTTTTAATATATTTTAGTGTTTTGTTTTTATTATTATTTTTATTTTGTAAGCCACCTAGATAGATTCCTGGAGAAGCAGCATAAACATTTTCTAAATAAAAAAATTAAATAAATGTGAGTTTGAATCATATGTTCAGCTGTTTGTGTATGCTGAATTACTTAAGAATTACTTCATGCATGTAGAAAGAAAAATCAAGTGTACATTGTACACACTTTGTACTTGAGTTCACTGTAAGTTGTGAACAGGGCTAGAGACACTAAGGGTCAGCTGAACCTCATTGAATGTGAGAAATACAAAATCCTTTAACATCTCAGTCTTCCCAACCAACATTACCTCCCTCTTGTCAGGATTCAGTTTCACCTTGTTTGCTCTTAGCTATTTAACCACAACACTGGGGCAGTGGCTTAAAGATCTTTAAGGGGGAAGAAGACTCACGGATAGGGTTGCCAGGTCCCCCTGGCCACCAGCAGGGGATGGGGGGGTGTAGGGTTGCCAGTTTGGTGTAGTGGTTAAGTGCGCGGACTCTAATCTGGGAGAACTGGGTTTGATTCCCCACTCCTTCACTTGCACCTGGCTGGATGACCTTGGGCAAGCCATAGTTCTGAAAAGAGCTGTTCTTGAAAAAGAGCAGTTTCTGTCAAGAGATCTCTCAGCCCCACCTACCTCACAAGGTGTCTGTTGTGGGGAGGGGAAGGGAAAGGAGTTTGTAAGCCGCTCTGAGACACCTTCGGGTAGTGAAGGGCAGGGTATAAATCCAATCTCTTCTTCTTCTTCTTGCCAGATACAAGGTTGGGAAACTCCTGGAAATTTGGGTATGGAGCCTAGGACGGACAGGGACCTCAGTGGGGTACAATGCCACAGAGTCCACCCTCGAAAGCATTCATTTTCTCCAGGGGAAATGATCTCTGTCATTCAGAGATGAGCTGTAATTCCAGGGGATCCCCAGGTCCCACTAGTGACCACAGCCTTCTGGGCTGGAACCTGGGAGATCTGGATTTCAATCTCACTTCTATCATGCAGAAATGACCAAAGACATATTGCAGCCCCAAGCTTCTGCCTGATCCACCCTTTATATCTCCACAATGAAAAGAGTGAGAGTTTTACTTAAAGCTGTAAATGCAGAGGAGCTAGTAGATCATGGCAGTACATGAAGCTGCCTTATACCAAATCAGACCATTGATCCATCAAGGTCAGTACTGTTTACTCAGACTGGTAACAGTTCTCCAGGGTCTCAGGCAGAGGTCTTTCACATCATCTTACTGCCTGGCCCTTTTTAACTGGAGATGCCAGGGATTGAACCTGTGACTTTCTGCATTCAAAGCAGATGCTCTACCTCTGAGCTATGGTCCCTCCCTAAATAGATCATTATGGTGCTGTAGGGAGCTAGCAACTGCTGATTTTTTTAAAAAAACTATGAAATGGCACTGGGGCTAAGAAAAACGTGGAGAAAACTGCCACGAAGATGCTATATGGCCCCCATGAATGCCTCTATATTCACAGCATTAGCAAGAGATACAGAGAATCATCACCATATGGAAGCAGCCACAGGCTCTCTGGCAGCATTGCAGAGGATTCTGGGCATCAACCCTAAATGACTGCAGTCCAACAATGGTGCCCTAGGATCCTCTCCAATGTTACAAGAGAGCCTATAGCAAACCTCTTGGATCACAAATTTTGAGTCCAGTGGAACCTTTAAGACATACAAAGTCATATCCAAGGTATAAGCTTTCATGTGCAAGCATCTGAAGAAGAGTGCTTGCACATGAAAGCTCATACTCTGAATAAAACTTTCTTGGTCTTAAAGGTGCCACTGGACTCAGACTTTGTTCTACTGCTTCAGACCAACACAGCTACCCACCTGGATCTATTTATTGGATCACATTACAACATTGGAACCTCAGGCAACTGATTTATGTTCTTCTCCTGTCCAGCCAGTTTTGAGTTTTTTCCAATTCCTCCAGCATACCACTGCAGAGTTTTTTGCAAGTAAAGTTATAGGTAAACAATAAATAGCAGTGACTGTAGGAGTTGGTTCTACTGGTTGTGTTCAGCTCTTTCACCAGTGCTTCAAACATTACAAACACATGGCTAGTAGGGTTCCCAACATCCAGGTGGAGCCTAGTGTTCTCCCACATTTAGTTTATTTTCAAATTACAGCCATCCATTCCAGTGAAGGAAATAGAACCTTTGGGATGGGGTGAGGGGGCATGGCCCATGGCATCATATTCCCACTGAGCCTTCAAGAAGATTCTGCCTCCAAATCTCCAGGAATTTCTCAATGTGGGATTGGCTATCCAACAGCTGCACCATAACAATGTTCGAGTCCAGTGGCACCTTTAAGACCAACAGAATTGTATTCACGGTATAAGCTTTGGTGTGCACGCACACTTCTTCAGATATGGTTCATGCTCAGATTCAGGTTCATGAATCAATTATCTCAATAGTAAATTTTACAAATAACAAAATGCTCTTTTTAAGCAGTAGAAGAAAAGCTATTGTGTGAATCCAGCCTCAAAGATCAACATCGCTCCTACAAAGCAGCCAGGCCAGAGGCACCTTCCTTTAACAGCACATCCTCTCTCATGGATCACTGCCTTGACTTGGCGAGGGGGCTTGTGTGATTCGATGAGGCTGTGGGCTATGCACTCACTGGAGAAGACCTTGAGGATGGGAAAGACTGAAGGTAAAAGAAGAAGGGGACGGCAAAGGATGAGATGATGTTATTGCTGCAATGAACATGAAATTGAGCAGACTCCGGAGGGCGGCGGAAGACAGGAGGGCCTGGCGTGATGTGGTCCATGGGGTCGCGAAGAGTCGGACTCAACAGTGCGACTGAACGACATCGACATACTATTATCATACTGACACATCTTTCCCAGATTGACGCGTCAACAGCTGTGAGCCGGACCTCGAAGGAGCCATGCCCACCTCTCAGCTCCTCCTGCACCCCCCCCCATTCGAAGCCCCGCCTTCCTTGGAGAGGGATCGTTTCACCGTCACAGGGAGGCGTGCGAATAGATGGCACCAGATAACGCTGCCGCTCGTTTCCCTCGATCTCTTTTAAAGGCTTCTTGGTCTTCTCGCGCGGCCCCTCGCAACGGCCACGTCACGTGACTCCAGCGTCCGGCGGCGGGGGGAGCGGAGTGACGCACGAGCGGCGCGGGAGGAGGGCGTTAAACGAACTGAGCGGCAACGCCAACGGTTTCCTTTCCGCCTCGTGCCGCTGGGAACGATTCGTGGCTTCCTCGCCAGTCGCCGCCATGGACTCTCGCCGCCCCTCGCCTCCCCTGGGCTTGGCGATGCTGCTGGTTGTTGTCGTCTCTGGCCTCACCTATCTGAGTGGAGTCGCTGCGGAGGGGGAGGAAGGTGAGGGCTGGGCTGGGCTGGGCGGCGGTTTCGGGGCCGCTTTAGGCAAGAGGCTTTGCCTGCGCAGCGCTTGCCCTGAAGGGAAGGTGCGGGGGCTCAGGTTGCTCCTTAGCAGCGGCCCTCCTCAGGAGTCCCCGGAAGGAGAAATGCGGGGGCGGTCTGTTGGGGGACGGGCTCTGTCCTTCAGGTGCAACCCTGAGCCGGCATTTCCCGGGGGGGGGGGCGTGGGGGGGAAGGACGCGGGTCACGAGGTCTCTTGGATCAGGGCGGGGGGGGGGGTCACTGCGTGAGAGTGCGGAGCTTCCTGACCGGGGCAACGTCCCTGAACTCATGTGATGCTTCTCGCCTCCAATTTCACCCGGGGGCAGATCACAGTAGCGGGAATAGGCTGCATTTAGTAGAAACTACAACTTTAAAAAATTGTGTGAGCCAGCCCAGCTGGTCTGTGATTAACCACTTGACCTTTTTGAAAGATTACATTTGCTTTGCCCTTGACAAGTAGGTGGATTTGGGCAGGCAGGACAATGGCCCCTCCCCTTCCTAGGTGGCAGATATGCAGGAGGTGTGGGGGGGGGCAAGGTTGGTGATGCTGTGCTGCATGATTCTCCTAGAAGGGAACCTAGGATGTAGTAATGAGGGTGGTGCTACAACATGTGTAGTTCTGATGTGTTCTTTCAGAGGCCCCAGGCTGACAGTGGATGTGCACATTCTGGTATTAAGGGAGTGGTGTTCATTAACTTCGAAAGCTCAGGAATATTCTGGTAGAGAAAAACATGTCTCTCATGTAAAACTGGCTTTTTTTGTACAGTTGTGTCTCCTGCTCTGATGACGTAATGCTATTTACCAGATTTGTATTAATCCAAAGAATAAAGTACTAGGGTTCACTGTTCAAAAGCCTGGTTCTTTGTTGACTAGAAGCTATTTTGAGAAGGCTACAAGGTTTTAATCACTCACTTGACTTTCTTTCCTCATCTGTTGGAGGAACTGTAATATTTTATAGTTCTCTCCTCTGTGTGGTTTTGTCTCCTGTTTTCTATGTTAATTTTTCATTTAAAATAAAAATACTTCTTTTCCAGTGTTTTTGAGGTTCAGTTCACATAATGCACTTCTGCATAACAGTGGGTGCAATAAGCTTTGGTCTCAAATACTACTTCTGAAACTACTGATCTGTTGCTTATTAACAATCTGATTTTTTTGGGTGTTTTTTTTTTTAAAAAAAACCTGTTCTTCATTTTCAGCCAACTGCACAAGCTATATCAACTGTAGTTCCTGTCTTGATAGTACCGGCAAGTTAAACTCTAGCTGTCAGTGGCTTGAGTGCAAAGGTAATATTTTTCAAACTACTTAAACTATGGTTCCTTCATAAACTTTACTTCTGGAACTCTCTAACACATTAGCCACCTGCTTGGCAGGCAGGTATGTACACAGAATCTATGATTTCTAAGAGTATTTGTATATACTTGCTTTCTCTGAATTCCTTGTGTATGTGGATAGTTTTTGCTTCACCATGTAACATTAAACACTGCTGACCAGATCTTAAAATGCTAAGACAACTGGTGGCTTTATCCACCTTTCAGTAAAAACTAAGACACTTGAATTTATTTATTTATTTAAATAAATTTTAAAATAAAATTAATACACTTGAGATAACCTTGTGATTGAACATGATAAAATAAGAATGTTAACCTAATTTTTGGCCAGGTTCTCACAGAATTAGTTGGTCTGTGTCAGGACTACTATTTAGAACCCAACCGCATTGTATAGATAGTCTTGTACATTTTTTCTCAGCTTTTTAAAACTGAAAATAAATTGGGGACAGTGACTGTTCAGACCATCTTTTTTGCCCAGAGTCAACTTCTGCTTTTGCTTTTTTGTCATTGATGGGAAAAATAGATTTTTCTTCTTGGAAAAAGGATACACAAAATTTTGGGATAATAAGAAATTAGATTTCCTGAACTTTTTGTGTGAACTTTCTTAATAAACCTAAACTTATTGTACTGCTTTACTGCCACAGAACACTTAATTTTGCATATAAAATTGTTTTTGTTGTTCAGTCGCACAGTCGAGTCCGACTCTTCGCGACCCCATGGACCAGATCACGCCAGGCTCTCCTGTCTTTCGCCGTCCTCTGAAGTTGGCTCAATTTCATGTTTGTTGCATCGATGACACTGTCTAACCATCTCATCCTTTGCCGTCCCCGTCTTCTTTGACCTTCAATCTTTCCCAGCATCAGGGTCTTCTCCAGTGAGTGCTCCCTTCTCATTTGGTGGCCAAAGTATTTGAGCTTCAGTTTCATTATCTGGCCTTCCAGGGAACAGTCAGGGTTGATTTCTTTTAGGATTGACTGATTTGATCTTTTTGCAGTCCAAGGGACTCTCAAGAGTCTTCTCCAGCACCATAGTTCAAAAGAATCTATTCTTCTGCGCTCGGCCTTCCTTATAGTCCAACTCTCGCAGCCATACATGACTACTGGGAATACCATTGCTTTGACCATGCGGACTTTTGTTGGCAGGGTGATGTCTCTACTTTTTATCATGCTGTTTAGGTTTGCCATCGCTTTCCTCCCAAGGAGCAGGCGTCTTTTAATTTCATGGCTGCAGTCACAGTCTGTGGTGATCTGGGATCCCAGGAACGTGAAGTCTGTCACTACTTCCACGACTTCCCCTTCTATTTGCCAAGGAGTGATGGGGCCGGATGCCATGATCTTAGTTTTTTTGATGTTGCGCTTCAAGCCCACTTTTGAGCTCTCCTCTTTCACTCTGAGCAAGAGGCTCTTAAGGTCCTCTTCACTTTCTGCCATTAGAGTGGTATCGTCTGCATATCTGAGGTTGTTGATCTTTTCCCCAGCAATCTTAATTCCCGCTTGTGATTCATCCAGGCCAGCATTTCGCATGATGTACTCTGCATATATATTCAAGGTGACATCTTTGTCGTACTCCTTTTCCTATGCCAAGCCAATCAGTTGTTCCATATCCGGTTCTAACTGTTGCTTCTTGGCCCTTATACAGGTTTCTCAAGAGACATGTGAGGTGGTCTGGTGCTCCCATCTCTTTAAGTACCTGCCATAATTTGTTGTGATCCACACAATCAAAGGCTTTAGCATAGTCAAATGAAGCAGAAGTAGATGTTTTTCTGGTACTCTCTTGCTTTCTCTATAATCCAGCAAATGTTGGCAATTTGATCTCTAGTTCCTCTATCTCTTTGAAACCCAGCTTGTACTTCTGGCAGTTCTCTATCCACGTACTGTTGAAGCCTAGCTTGTAGGATCTTGAGCATGACCTTGCTAGTGTGTGATATTGTACGATCGTTTGTGTGATTTTCCAAATTTGCTGGCAAATGGAGTGCAGAACTTTAACAGCATCCTCTTCTAAGACTTTGAATAGCTCAGCTGGGATACCATCACCTCCACTAGCTTTGTTGTTAGTAATGCTTTCTAAGGCCCATTTAACTTCACATTCCAGGATGTCTGGCTCGAGGTCAGTGATTATACCGTCGTGGTTGTCAAGGACATCGAGGTCTTTCTTGTATAGTTCTTCTGTGTATTCTTGCCATCTTTTCCTAATCTCTTCTGCTTCTGTTAGGTCCCTACCGTTTTTGTCCTTTATCATGGCCAGCTTTGCATGGAACGCTCCCTTGATTTCTCCAATTTTCTTGAAGAGATCTCTAGTCCTTCCCATTCTATTGTTTTCTTCTATTACTTTGCACTGTTCATTCAGGAAGGCCTCCTTATCTCTCCTTGCTGTTCTCTGGAAATCTGCGTTCAGTTGGGTAAATCTTTCCTTTTCGCCTTTGCCTTTCGCTTTCCTTCTTTCCTCTGCTATTTGTAAAGCCTCATCAGAAAGCCACTTTGCTTTCTTGCATTTCTTTTTCTTTGGGATGGTGGTGATTGCTGCCTCCTGTACGATGTCACGAACCTCTGTCCATAGTTCTTCAGGCACTCTATCTATCAAATCCAGACCCTTGAATCTATTCTTCACCTCTACTGTATATTCATCAGGGATGCGATCTAGGTCAAACCTGAATGGCCTCGTGGTTTTCCCGATTTTCTTCAGTTTAAGTCTGAATTTTGCAATGAGTAGCTCATGATCTGAACCACAGTCAGCTCCAGGTCTTGTTTTTACTGACTGGATAGAGCTTCTCCATCTTTGACTGCAAATTATATAGTCAATCTGATTTCGGTGTTGCCCATCTGGTGATGTCCATGTGTAGAGTCGTCTCTTAGGTTGTTGGAAAAGGGTGTTCGCTATGACCAGTGTGTTCTCTTGACAAAACTCTGTTAACCTTTGCCCTGCTTCATTTTGCTTTCCAAGGCCAAAGTTGTCAGTTATTCCGGTTACCTTTTGATTTCCTACTTTAGCATTCCAGTCCCCTATGATGATGAGGACATCATTTTTTGGTGTTAGTTCTAGGAGGTGTTGTAGGTCTTCATAGAACCGGTCCACTTCAGCCTCTTCTGCATCCGTGGTTGGGGCATAGACTTGGATTACTGTGATGTTGAATGGTTTGCCTTGGAATCGGACCGAAATCATTCTGTCATTTTTGAGATTGTATCCCAGTACCGACTTTTGCACTCTGTTGTTGACTATAAAGGCCACACCATTTTTTCTATGAGATTCCTGGCCACAGTAATAGATGTAATGGTCTTCTGAATTAAATTCACCCATTCCTGTCCACTTTAGTTCACTGATTCCTAAGATATCGATGTTCAGTCTTGCCATCTCATTTTTGACCACATCAAGCTTACGTTGATTCATAGATCTTACATTCCAGGTTCCTATGCAGTATTGTTCTTTGCAGCATCGGACTTTCCTTTCACCATCAGACACATCCACAACTGAGCGTCCTTTCGGCTTTGGCCCAGCCGCTTCACTCTTACTGGAGTTACTTGTACTTGCCCCCTGCTCTTCCTCAGTAGCGTATTGGACACCTTCTGACCTGAGGGGCTCATCTTCCAGGGTCATATCTTTTAGCCTTTTGATACTGTCCATGGGGTTTTCTTGGCAAAAAATACTTGCCATTTCCTTCTCCAGGAGACCACGCTTGGTCTGAGTTCTCTGCGGTGGCCTGTCTGTCTTGGGTGGCCTTCAACGGCATAGCCCACAGCTTCATTGAACAACGCAAGCCCCCTCGCCACGACAAGGCAGTGATCCATGAGGGGGAGATAAAATTTTACTGTTTGAATATTTAGAATTATGCGCCTTAGTTTTCTATGAGCAGAGTTGTGAATAAACCCAATATTCTGGAAGAGGTTCCTATGTGACCTTAGCACATGTCTTTAGTTTTTGGCATCTGAGCGGTAGGAAAAATAGCGGGGAAACAGCTTTGTAGTAAACACAGTAAATTTATTGATGGGGAAAGAAATAGTTTCATATGGTCACGTAGGACTAGCAGCATATCTGCATATTGGATTAAACTTTATAACATAAAGAACACTGAAGTCTTCAGTAGCATGCTGACATGCATATTATATCCTATTAATTGTGGATTAAATTTGATGCACTTAAACTATGAATGTATTTTTCAAAACGTGTTTATGTCTACACTATACACAGGAACCTGTAATTATTGAATGCTGTAGATCATCGCACGTAGAAATCAATTTCAATGTTAGAAACTACTGTATTTCTATTAGTATTAGTTTTAATTTGCTTTTATACACTTCTGTATTTGCATACCTTAATTTTTATATGGTCATTTTTATTTTATTTTTTCCTTACTGGTTTGTATTCTGGTCATGGACTGTAAATAAAGTATTGATTGATTAATATGTAGAAATCTTCATCCTATACATACTGCACCTGTTGGATGAGTAACAGCATGTTTAACAGCACATTTGTTTGACAAAGGGAGCTTTGATTCTCAGAAGTTTACACCCAAAAAATCTAGTTGGTCTCTAAGATGCTACTGGACTCAAATCTAGCTGTTTTGCTGCAGACTAACACGGTTACTCTCTGAAACTAACATGTTTAACTGCATTTTGCTCAATACAAAAAGAGAAAGTACTTCATAGGAATTTTTTCAAAGCCCCCCCCCCACTCCTTGAGCAGGGTGACAGGAGGAAAAGCATTTTTTTCCCAGGCCTTCATATCTCTACCCGATATCGCTTCCTCCCATTGGGAGAAAAGCAACTGGTGGTGACTTTGAGTGGAAAAACAGCTAGAAGGGGAGAGTTTGACCAGCCCCAACCCTGCAGTGCTTCAGAAGCTACTGGGGGGGGGGGGTTTACCAAAAATCAGAGGAACATATGCATACACTATGTCAAGCTCACTGACTTCAGGTGTAGGCTTACATGATAAAATGATTCCCCACCAAAAGCACTCCTACATAACATATTAGGGAGAAGTATTCTAGCCTGATAAGTAGTGTTTTTTATACCATATGTAGGAATGTTTACTTGCATGAACCTCTACCTGCCTGCATCTTGAAGAGATGGAATTTAAACCCTTTATTGCTGCAATGAGAACAAAGTCTATATTGAAACTGTGGTGACACACCTGTCACTAACTTGGCTGGTATGACTCTCTCAAATGTGCAGGAAACAACTCTGCATAAGTGATTGCAGAGGAAGTTAGAATTAAGGCAAGAAGAAGTTTTAAAGAAACTACAAAGTACTTAAGAGCAGGAGAAGCTGTATGCTGTGCAGGAGTGAGGCTGTAGAGAAGTCTGGCTGAGGGACGGGCTAGTTAAAAGAAGTGATATCAGGTAGACAGTGGAAGGAGCCATCAGTGGTGGAGAGATGGAGTCGAAGAAAGGAGGATATAAGAAAAATTTGCTAAATCTCATATGGGTAACAAACATAAGAGAGGTACATGGTTGGAAGAAAAAGTAGGCAGGCAAGGAAGGTTTAGGGGCTACAGGCCAGGACACCAAAGAGGCCTAGGATTGCTAGGTCATCTTAGAACTTCAAAAGAAGCTGATAGCAGCTGTGTTGGTCCCAAAGTAAAATCTAAACAAAGCCAGAAAACAGTCTACATAATACTTTTTATTAGGTATTATGAGCTGTTCCTTTAAGATTATGCAGTAGAGGAATTTTGTAATTTGTAGCTGCTGTTGATACTGCAGTGCCTGCTGTGTAGTACTACTAGCGCTGTTTTGAAGAGACAGCAAGGGCTACAAACCAAGAGAATGGGATCTAAATTAAGCACCCAGTTCCTGAGCTGTAGGCTTAAGTTTTTCTTGGGAATGACTTTGAACTTTGCTTGTTGAGCAGGCTAACCTTTAAGTCTAAGGAAAGTGGTGCTTGAAATATTTCTTAGCTTTTAAAAACTAGTAACTGTGAGAGGTTCTATTGTTAAGCAAGGGCTCTTTTCTGAGTTTCCCAAACAGTAATTTGACTTTGAACCATTGTTATCTGTTGTGTACAAACATTTTTCTCAAATGCAGTTCTGGAGAGGAGTAGTTGCTTTTTATGTGTGCAACCACTGGCTGTACTTTGACTTTTCGCAGGTGTTTAGTGATGATGGAAGGATGTGACTTCTAGTCTTAACAGCCTTCTTGTTAGTAACCAGCCTTAAGCCATCTGTTTTTAAAAACAGCATTTTGGTTGAATCAGAGGATTGTTCTAGTGTGGGAAAAGTAGAATACCCAAGAAGAGTAAATTAATAGCTGTAAAATATTTATAGAAAAGTGTAGAAAATATTCCTCAAAGTCACCTGTAGACAACATATCTTGCTAAATTTTTTACCTATTTAAATTATAAACTGAATATTTTTAATCTTTGCAGAAGTGACTCAGTCCCGGTGTATAAATCAAACAAAAGAACATGAACATTGTATTGTTTATACAGGTCATGAGCAATGCTTGCGTAAGTATTTAAATACTTATATGTGCTATATTATGTATGTAAATATTAATAGATGAACCAGCAATCCTCGTACATTCTGCAAAGTCCATCTATTTCTCATATCTCCTTTCTAAAATGTGGGAATGGAACATTTAGTAAAGCTCAAAGTACTGCTCAGTAGCAGCCTGGGCAGTCCTTCAAGTGAGTTTATACTGAATCACTGGTTGAGAAGTACCCAATGGCTCCATTTGACTGAGTACCCAATGGCTCCAATTGACTGAGTGATATCCACATTACTAAGGATAGGATGTGCTGAGCTTGTTTACCCACTCTGGATGTTGCATTGCTTTGTCACTATTACAGATGTGTTCATAGGGGCAATATGCCTACCAATTCCATTTAATGGTTTTGTCTCATCCAGTATGAGTTTTACATTAGGGGAGGTCAGGTAGACTTTGTTTCTGTAAACTGCTTAATTTTTTTCAAGAGTTTTGAGTGCCACCAGTCACTCCACAGCAGTTCATTGGATGGATCCAGTCACAGAATGAAAGCTTGTACAAAGATCTCAGCATTTCAGACCAGGTCTGTAGTGCTTGGGTTGGGAAAACCTTTTCTTTCTTTGTTTTCCCAAAATAAGCCACCACACCTCCATTTTAGCTTGGCCTGCAGGGGGAAGTAAACAGTTATCATTGTGTTTTCCTAGAAGAGTCAAGTAGCGGCTTTGATGCAGGGGGAGGAAGAAATATACCATGTTCTCCCTCTGTGGTGGAGGTCATCTCCATGGGTTATTCCCACTGTGCCTTTAGGGAGGCAGGAAATAGTTTTTTCCCCTTCCTGTTGGCGCCTTCGGAATAGCCCATCCCCAGTTCTGTTCCTGCCTCACTAGGGAGAAGCAGCATAGCTTAGCTAGTCCTAGCTAATTTTCAAAACCTTCCATTTTTTCTCTTCTAAGCCTGCCTTGCCCGTCTTACCTTTTTTCTTTTCTCTCTCTCTCCTTCTCTCGACCCTTCTATTCTGCTCCGACTTCGGACCGAAGACCACGGGAGTCCATTGACCCAAAGAGGCCATTACAGGCCGCGATGGCAACCAAAGAGCTTCCCGAGGTTTTTTCCTCGGACGACAGCAACCAAATTACAGCAACCAAAGCATTCTCTTGACTACCGCTGTTGAAGCCAGGCCCCTGGAAACAAAGGAGATAATGTCCAATGTAGCGTCAGCCGTAAAAGAGTCAGACTTGAGTGTGCGGGAGATTCCTTCCAAAAAGCCCGGTTGTTTTCAGGTATTAGCTGAATTAGCTTCCGCAACCATACTATGGATGCTCTGGTGGCGATGGAGGCAGCATCAACGGCCTGATGGGCTTCAACAGCGGTAGTCAAGAGAATGCTTTGGTTGTGGGCCTGGCAAGCGGACACTTTTTCCAAATCCATAGTTACCGCCTATCCCTTCCAGGGGGGTCGCCTGTTTGGTGATGCACTTGACAACATTTTGGTTGAAACCAGAGATAAGAAGCAGGCCATGCCTCGGTCGCTGAACAACACAGACGCAATCCTCAGTCCTTTCGCTCCCATCATACCCTGCCGCGATTTCGTCAGGACTTCAAAAGATCTACATGGGACTCTACCAAACAATCCACCAGACGTGGTTCCTTCAACCCTTGTTTTCAGAGATCTCAGTTCAACAGAAACGACAGAGGTGCGAGGGAACCCAAACCAAAACAGAATTGACTGTACCAGTCTGCCGGTAGGGGCACGACTTCTTCATTTTGCCAGGACTTGGTCAGAAATGCAGGCGGATGCCTGGGCAGTGGAAATCGTGTCTCAAGGATACACGATAGATTTTCTTCGTCAACCTCCAGAAAGATTTCTACAATCACCGGCAAGCAAATCCGTAAACAAAAGATCCATCATCAACAAGGCAATACAACACCTTCTCAACATCAGGGCTATAGAACCAGTTCCTTCCGACGAGAAGTGCCGAGGAGTCTATTCATACTGTTTATGGTTCCCAAAAAGAACGGAGACTGGAGAGCGATTCTGGATCTCAAATTTTTAAACAAATTCATTCGGTTGCGACACTTCCGCATGGAAACCCTGAGAGCAGTAGCGGACTCCCTATCCCCCAACGAGTTCTGACGTCCATAGATCTCACGGAGGTGTATCTACATGTGCCGATCCACCCTGCTCACAAGAGGTACCTTTGTTTTTACATCTATGGTCAGCACTTCCAGTACAGGGCCCTTCCCTTCGGTATCTCTACGGCGCCCAGGTTATTCACCAAGCTGATTATCAACCCGGTGAGTCATCTCAGAGACCAGGGGATTCATGTGCATCTGTACCTAGACGATTTGTTGGTCTGGGCCAGCTCGCATCAGGAATCCGTCCTCAACACAGAGAGGACTCTACAATGTCTGCGCAGTCACGGTTTCTTAATAAACTTCGAGAAAAGTTCTCTAATGCCGAGTCAACGTCGAGCATCTGGGAGCAGTGATCAACACCACACGTACCGCTCTGTTTCTGCCAGGGGCCAAGGCACAGAAGATCAAGACCATCGCGATGCGAATCTTCCGCAGCAGATCCTCCCCATTGATGGAATTGGCCAGTCTCCTGGGTCTCATGATATCCAGCATAGATATGATCCAATGGGGTCATATGCACGAAAGAGCATTGCAGATGTTTTTACGTCCTCATCAGTTGAGCATCATGCAAAGAAAGACGATCAATTTGCAGGTTCCTCTCAGGGTCAAGGAAACCCTGCAATGGGGGACAGATTTGAGACACTTGACAACTGGGAAGTCATACTCTGTGTGTCACACCATGGAACTGTTCTCAGACGCCAGTCTCCTGGGCTGGGGAGCGACTCTAGAGGGTGTTCCAGTCCAAGGGGTCTGGTCACCAGCCGAGAGATCGCTTCCGATCAATTTATTGGAAATACGAGCAATTCGTCTAGCCCTGATACACTTCCCGACTGCGGGGACAACATGTCCTGGTGAAAACAGACAATATTGCAGCAAAGGCTTACCTCAACAAACAGGGTGGTTCCCGATCTTGCCGATTGTACAAGGAAGCCATGAAGATCCTCCTCTGGGCGGAGAGGAGCATTGCGTCCCTGAGGGCAGCACACATCAGGGGGATCGAGAACGTACAGGCAGACTGGCTCAGCAGACAAATGTTGCAGGAGGGAGAATGGTCTCTTCACCCCGACCTTTTCATCAGGATAGTGGAACGCTTTGGACACCCCGTGCTGGACTTGTTTGCATCACCAAACAATCACAAGCTACCGAGATACTACACCAGATACTTCCATCAGGACGCAGAAGCGACGGATGCGCTCACGACGGGATGGCCTCCGGGTCTGCTGTACGCGTTCCCACCGTTCATCCTAATATCCAGGACTCTTCGCAGAATCAGAGACCTCAAAGTAGAAGTCATCTACATGGAAAGCTTTTGTTTGCTGGTGTCGGCGCAAGAAGATCAGCCCGCTTTCTCCCTCTGTAGCCTGTCTGCTATCATTCTTGCAGGACGGTTTGGATACTGGTCTCCAAGCTTCCACTCTACGTAGGCGGCTCGCAGCGCTAGCTACGGTCCTTCCTTCTATAGAAGGTGTAGGGTTATCCAAACATCCTCATATCCGTCTATTTCTACAGGGAACGGTGGCCAAATCTCCTCAAACACACCAATTTCCCACGTGGAGATTGAACATTGTTCTAGATGCTCTAATGAAAGCGCCATTTGAACCTCTCAGAGAGGTCGACCTAAAATGGCTGAGAATGAAAACCTTGTTTCTCGTTGCCATCACATCAGCGAGGCGAGTTTCTGAACTGAGTGTATTGTCAGTGAAGTCGTCTTGTTGCATTTTCCACAAGGACAAGGTGGTGCTTCTGCCGGATCCTACGTTTCGGCCCAAGGTGGATTCCAGGTTTCATCGGTCACAAGAGATCTCTCTACCAACCTTCTGTCCTCACCCTAAGCACCCTAAAGAATGTCTCTGGCACACATTGGACGTAGGCTCTCAAAATTTATATCACTAGAACAGAGCCTTGGAGAAAGTCGGACTTTTTGTTCATAGACATTTCCCCGCCTCGCAAAGGGGAGAGGATGGCGAAATCTACCATCAGTTCAGTTCTGAAGTCTTGTATTGTGGAGGCCTTCCGAGCAGCCGGACGCGACCCTCAAAGTGGCATCACAGCGCACTCCTTGAGGAATGTGGCAACTAATGCAGCGTTGTTTAACAGGGCATCAGTAGAGGAAGTCTGCAAAGCGGCAACGTGGTCCTCCATCTCTACCTTCATGAGGCACTACAAACTTCACACCATGGCATCTGCAGAAGCTGCTTTCTGGAGAAGAGTTCTTCAGCACACAATTTCGTTGGAAGAAGATGACGACCCACCCGAATGAGGGACACTGCTCAGGGAGGTCCCATGGAGATGTCCTCCACCTCAGAGGGAGAATGACCATTGGACACTTACCGTGAGGGGTCCTTCTCCTCTGAGGACAGGAGGACATCTCGGCCCTCCCGCTGTCATCTTTTTCTGTTTTCACTTCTTTGTGCTGATCTCTTCTCTTGACTTGTGTTACCTTACTCTGGGGTTCTTTCTCTATCCTACAGAGTACAGTGGTTATATGTTGAATTTAATGTTCATAGTTATATGTTATAGGGCAAGGTTAGTGATTCAGGCTACACACACTGCTTTCGGAGTCCCAGAACTGGGGATGGGCTATTCCGAAGGCGCCAACAGGAAGGGGGAAAAACTATTTCCTGCCTCCCTAAAGGCACGGTGGGAATAACCCATGGAGATGTCCTCCTGTCCTCAGAGGAGAAGGACACCTCACGGTAAGTGTCCAATGGTCCTTTCTCATGCAGAGCAGTGGGGGGCGGGGGAGAATGCTGGTGCTATTTTCTCATCCCGGGTAGAGGTTCGTGTTTGCATGTGCCTCTACACAAGAGAAAGGAGAGAAGCTGCTATGGTAAGGATAAGGAAGTAGAGCTACTTCTAATTGCTTGGAGAGTGACTGGTTACACCTTAGTGATCTTCTGCCCACCTGTTTTACATTATGTCTTCATAAGAATCTTTGGAGCTGTGATGGCTACTGTTATTAAACATGGGTCTTCCAGTTTTCTCTTCTAAATTGTTTTTCTTCATGACGTTTAGTTACTCCTACCAATGGCACAACTAGCGCGCCTCCCAGAAACATAACCAGCACTCCTGCCCCAGGTAAAGAAATTATTTGTTTCATAATCTAGTTTTAGGCAATGCTGTTCACTCCCTCATCTATTAAGAGCACTGGGTGAGACCTCCCCTTTAACGTCCCTTGAAGATGGAATTTCAGGTTCTCAGTTGTTCCCATCCCACCATTTTTCAAACTTTTCATTTTGAGAAATTCATGCTCCTTAACGGTAATCCTATGCCAGAATTGGGTGGTCCATGAGGCATTACGTGTGTGGGGGGAGATAAATCCCTCTCCCCAGTGAAATGTTGAATGCAACACGTCTGAGTACTAGGGCTGTACAAGCAGGAACCTGCAGAGGCTTGGGGGGGCAATTTCATTTCCCCCTTCCCCTCTATTTATTATTTCCTTTCTCTGAAAGTCCCCATAGCTTTTCCTGCCTTATTCTCTCCTTAGCTATTCACCAACCTATCTTTATCTGCTCCTCTGTCTTCAGCCCCCACTCCCAGCCACTACCTAGGAAAACTATGGCCCAGTTGTGTGGTAGCAGCTCCTGGGTCAGGCCCACGTGCATGGTAGGGAACCCTTGAGGACTTGTGGGGGGGACACACCACTTTCCCCTGTATCCCCCTCCCCATATTATTTCCCCTTTCCCTCCTGGAAATTCCCATATCCCCCCCTTTCCATTCCTCCTCATCCATTCACCAACCTACCTTTTATCTGTCTCCCATCTTCCAACTATATTTACTTGAATTATACCTTGCCTTTCTCCACAGTGGGGACCAAAGCAGCTTACCTCATTATCCTTTCCCCCTTGTTATCCTCACAACAACCCTGTGAGGTTGATTAGACAGACAACCTTTATTGGCAGACAGACAACCTTTATTGGCATATCAAAGACAGAAAGTATATGACTAGCACCACCTAGTGAGCTTCCATGGCTTCCATTTGTTAAAGCTACATGTGCTCCTGTTAGCATTTTGGATTTTTAAACCCCCTCCCCACAATGTCTTTCAGATTTTTCTGCAACCCTGAGGCATTCTTCAGGTTTGTAGAAAGATCTGTCTTGTCCATTCACAGTTCCAGTCACTGGATTTAAACATCCTCAGATTTGTCTCACTTGCTTTAGAATATACAAGTGAGGACCTGTGACCCTCACAAGGGCATCCCCCCCTTATCTTTAATCCCCTCTGTTCAGTGCCAGCTACGAGAGGGAAGGGATCCCTCCCACTGTTGCAGCTACTGCTACTGGACTGCTGTGCTTCCACCACGGACATTCATGCTGACGAGCCCACCATGGCTCTATGCATGGTGTGGCTCCCAAAGTCCTCCAGCCTTAGAGCTTCTGTTGCTGAGACATTGCATTCCAACCCCCCAACTCTGCTCCACTGACATCAATGCCAGCAAATCCTGTGCAGCTCCAGGCTCCTCTCCCCTCTGGTCACTGCCAAGATTCCAACAGGTGGATGCATTGTCTGCACATGTGTAAACAATGCTTTTGTTTTTTGAGTGGATTTATCCTCCCCCATGTAATTTTTTACCAATTTCAGCTTTTTCTGAATTCCAGCAGTCTTGCTAAGTTTGGAGAAAAATCCTCTATTTCAGTGTGGGCTCGATCCATGGATTTAGAAATCTGCAGAGCTACCCACAGTTGAGGAATAGATATATAGATAGATGATATGATGAGTAGATTCCTTCCCAGCTATCCCTGAATCCCAGCAGTCTAGTGCTATAGTGTGGGTGTCTTAATTAGGGGTGTGCATTTTTCCCTCTGGATTTTTTGGTTCTGTTGAACCTGAAAAAATTTCAGGATTCCTGAAAAAACCTGGATCCCAATACCGATAAAGTATTCAGAGCCTAGATTTTTTGGAAATCCCGAAGTTTTTTAGGTCCAGTAGATCCAAACTGAAAAATATGGGGGGGAGGGGAGCAGTGGCAAAGCCTCAAAAAACTACTGAGAGGCAGCTCAGCTGGGGCTCTTTTGGGAAGTCCCTTTAAACTGGACTGCCCGAAAGAGCTCACAAAGGAGCCAATCCTGCAGGGAGAGCTCTCCCCCCGAGGCTCTGCTTGGCAGCCTGGTTTAAACCGGACTGCCCAACAGAGCCCGCCAAGCAACCAAACTTGCAGGGAGAACTATTCCTGGAGGCTCTGCTGGGCAGCCTGGTTTAAACTGGACTGCCCAACAGAACCCGCAAAAGAGCCGATCCTGTGGGGAGAACTCCCCCCTGGCTGTTTTGCGAGCTGTCTTCTGCAGTCCCGTTAAACACCCCCTGTTTAAAAGGGCTGCAGAAGAAAGCCCTAAAACAGCTGAGCAGCAGGAACAGTCTGCTCCAGCCCCTCAGCTATTGTTCAGGTTTGCCACTAATTCCTGAATATGACTGGGGGTTTGGGGTTCTCCCGAAAAATCCCGATTACATTTGGGATACCGAACTATAACCAAAAAATACTGAAGTTGCTTTTCAGGTATATTTTTGGTTTGGGTAGACCTGAATGCACACCCCTTGTCTTTAACTATTAAGGACCGAGCAGACTAATTTCCCCTTTCTCTTTTTTTCCCCTTCCATGGGGATCAAATGCCCTCTGGTTTTAGGAGCTATGGAATGTTAAGAGAATATCTTGTGCTTGGACCATGTTTTTTTGTTGGTAAATATCTGAGACCTGGGAAGTCTCCTCAAAGTGTGGAGAAACCCCTGCCTTGTCTGTGGGTTGCTCCTTTTCTCTGCCCTGCTGATAGGTATTGGAACATCAAGGTTGCTATTAAAAGAACTGATACTTATTATGTAACCCATTTAATTATGTTTGTATTCCATAACTACATGCAGAGATTTTGAAGTTAAAATAAAGTAACTTAGTTTGGTTCAACTTAAGTGGAATGTTCTTTTGAAAACAGGTAACACAACATATGCCACTTCACCTAAAGTAACGACTACTAGTGCTCCTAATACTACAGTAACAACTTCTGCTGTACCAGGTACTCTTTTATTTGTAGCAATTTTATATTAAGGCAAAGCTGTCTTGTGATATGTGGAAGTAAACTATATTGTGTGATCAATGAAGCAGACAATTCAAATTTTCTGTATATAGTTTCAAATGCTTCTGCTTATTTCGGCTCCTTTTCAATCTTTTTTCTATCTATACTGTGAAATAGCAGCAGGTTAGAAAGATCCAGGAGTTGCTGTAGTTCTTTTCTGACGTCTCTGAAGAATTGCTTTTGCAGCTCTGCTTCCATTAGCAGAGCTGTTCCTAGATCTGCATTGATAGAATGGTAGACACAATATGGGGCTTGGACTTTATAAAATGAAAAGAGGATTCAGAAAGCAATATAATTTTTATAAATCTTTATTTGACAGGCACGCAACCACCCCGCAAGTCATCCACGTTTGATGCTTCCAGCTTTATTGGTGGGATTGTCCTTGTGTTGGGTCTTCAAGCAGTAATTTTCTTCCTGTATAAATTTTGCAAGTCCAAAGATCAAAACTACCATACCCTCTAGGATGTTGCTTTTCAGTGGACTCATAGCTCAACATCTGTGGTTAGCTGAATCAAAACATCTTTATTCCTTATAGAAGACTGCAATTCAAAATATTCTTATTCTCAAGAAGACTTCTTTAAAAGAATATTTTTGCAACATGCTTGAAAGAAGGTTGTGTGAATCATGTCTTAATCTGCAAGAATACAATATTCTGCATGAACCCTTATTGGCTGTATTAAATTACTTTTGTGGCCGCTGCTGTGGAACCTTTTTGCTCTACCTGACATGCCAAATGTAGATTTGTATTCAATGGCAGCAGTGTCTTAGTAGATAATTGCAGTAGTTAAATTAGCTAGCCATAGTTTTAGTAGCCTCTTATGATGTTATTAAAATGTGAACTACTGATGACTTGGCATGAAACACTTTTTGTGTGAAAACGATGGTTTATATAGTGTATGCTGGGAGATTGGGACGGATTTGTCAAAGTAGATACTATCTCTTCTCCCCCCTTTTATGGAAGCCCATATTTTTCTATATTAGATAGCAACCAAAGGAAAACTGCATCCTTATTGAAGGAGCCATAGGAAGAAGTTGGTAAATGAAGGATGCATTTTTCCTTTGTTTGTAAGGGAGAAAGACCAGTGCCTTAATGACTAGGCTGCAAACGAAACTGATTGACATCTTATTTGTTCAAGGTACAGTGAATGTCATCCTACTTTCAGCACATTTTTTCCAGTAGAATCAAACTTGAGAATTAAGCTCCTTAATTTTAAAGAAAGCAGACATGGAAAGAGACAGCTGTTTTTTTATTCACGTGCTACTTCTGTTGCCATGTATTCATAGCCTTTAAATTACTTGCCTTGGAAAGTACCATTAGCAATTCTCTCTATGGAGAGTACTATTTTCAGTTGGTACCCTTAGTGCTTACTGTTTTTGGATATTTCAAAGTTACTGTAATTTTTGATGGCTTTGTGACTAATACACTTGATATTCTGTCCCCATATAGCAATATAGTTAAAAAGATTGAGCACTTGGCGCTACTTTAGCTTGAGATCATTGTTTAATTTTGCAGGTTATGATGAACGTGGTTTAAAATGGTAGAAATTCAGTTTACAGGTTCACTGTTAAGTTCTGCTCCTGGATGAGCCCTTGTGAAACTACAGAAGGTTACATAGGAAGCTGAACTTGCTCAATAGCAATATCTGGGTTTATAGCTTATTGTGGGGAAAATATGTTATGTCTCTAGCCCTTCTAGTTTGAATAGTATTCACCTCAATAATGTTGCATAAAAGTTTATTAGGATATGTAGCAAATAGTACTGTAATTTAAACCTTCAGGCAAATGCACTCATAATAAAATAAGACAATCAGCTCAGGTGTATGAAACAGTAATTGACCATCCAGTGGGTCACCAAGCAACACGTCTGAATTGGGTGGTATTTATGGCCTTACAACAGTCATTTAATCTCGTTTCCTATCTCTTACAGTCCGTAGATATAAGCTGAGGATCTGAACATAGGATAAAATATAATATGTATAAATATAAACTAATGCACTTCTAAAGGGGTGGCAGTTGTTGAAAAGGAGAATGTGTACCCTCCATAGGCTTATCCATAAGATAAGTAGATTCCTAAAAGCAACTAAGTGTTGATTCCTTACTAGCTCTTACTTTATTTTGTAAGCTTACAGCAGAAGGGTTCGAGACACAAACAGTGCCACAACTGAAAATTAAGCCAATATTGTTGTTGATCCAGGAATAATTGCTGTTTAAACAACATCAAACAGCCATGTGTTCTGGGCTGCTCTCAAAATTATGACTCCTATTTTAAGTGCCTTAAACTTTCTTAATGATTGGCCTCATGTCTGAAGACATGTGAGGAGGGGAATCTTAGTCACTAAACTTGCCCCAGTGCCAGCAATTGCTATTTTCCAAGGACTTCAGGAAATTCAGGTGCCACTCCTACTATTCAGGAAGTTTGCATTTTCTACTTAGCTAGCATATAGCTGTGTGTGTAGTATTTAGGATAACTGTCTCCATGCAGTGGCATAAATACTTGGTTATCTAGACCATGTTTGATCAGCAGCTTACCAACATTAAGGTTAAGACTGAGGGGTTGCTGTTTATCTTTCTATGGATGGTTGAGTGTTTTGTTTGCAGTTTTGGAAACTGGTTAACTTGCAAATACCTAGGATAACTTTTCACAGCATCTGTCTGAAGTATAAGAGGTTTTAAAGAATATTTTTTAAACCCGTCTATGTTGAACAGTTAATCATATGGCCTTTCTAAGGCAGCAAAGTGTGACTTTCAGGCTTTATCTGGATTGTTTCAAAACCCCAGGTGTGCAAGTATACTGCATCAGGAATGGAATGTTCAGACATTACTGTATTGCATATATGTTGTCTTCAGTAGAAGAAATGCAAACTTATAATCACAAAAACCAAAAATAATAAATGATTACTAAAGTATTTCTGTGCATCTGTTCATAAATTTGCATCTGGAGTATGTGCTGAAAGGTTATGTAAAAATTTTATGCTAAGAATTTAGTTTCAAAAATATTTTGATGGTAGTGTTTTTAGCTGCAGAGGAGGAATATAATCTTGCTGTCCTTGTGCAGGTCGAAGGTTCGACACAGGGAGGAAAAAGTATGTTAGCCTAATACATTCCTTTCTGCTGACTGCTTTCTTGATTTCTACTCTGTTTATGAAAGCTGTGGGCAGCTCAGGCCTTGTTCATGATAAGCATGCCCTGTGTGCATGTGGATTGGGCTGCTGCAAGCCTTGGGAAAAACAAGATATGCATCATGTTGTACCATAGCCTGTTGCAATTTTGCACTCCCTTCATGAAAAGAGCCTCTATGTACTGCAAGCAGGTGTACTCTGGCAGTTCTTCAGTTTCATTACTTGGCAGATTTATTTTAAACCCACTAGGAGAAAAATAGTATGTGGGGAGGTAAGAAAATACTTTATTAACAGGTTGTACAGTTCCGACCAGTACAAAGTTTCCAGCTGGAGTACTTTCTACTTACTAATGTGGCTGCTCTGATGAACAGTTTTGAGATTTCCTCTTTTCACAAAACTGCATAGGTAGGATAGAATGGGTGATTTCTGTAAGATTTGGCAAGAGAGCATCTACTACTCTGTTTCTCCATCCACTGGATACCTGGCAATATAAATAATTTTATTGACATCTGTGTCTTCATGAATAAAATGCTAATAGGCTGTGAGGTTTTGGCCCCTGAAAACTGCAGAAGCTGACCTGTTAGGTGACAATATATGAAGTATTTCCCAGAACGAAGGGCAAAGCCAGTCAACTAAGGCTGCTTCCATATTTGCAACTGAGCATCACATGGAAAATTTTTCCCTGCATTCTCCTTACCACCCCCAGACCTCTCTGGCTGCCATTTACCTGCTGCCGCTGGAGGGCATTTTAGACATTAAAAAAGTAAATGGTACAGCAATGCAGCTCAAATGTTTTCACAGTGTATTTGTTCCCACCTTTCATTTTAAAAAGTCTCTAGCCCTTTAGATTGCAGAGTTATAACAAGACATATTCAGCCATAACTCCACAACCAAACTCTTTCTAAAAGTGAAAGCAACAACAAGTACATTGTTGCTATAGATCATTATAATGTGTAAATCTATAGAGATATAGCTGTTGCTGATTTTAAGTCAACTCAGAAAAAACCCCTCTAGAGGTACAGAATGGCAGCAATGGGAACTGAGGTAATAAAAATGGCACCAGTGTGGGTAAGACCTGCAAAAAAATTTCACCTACCTGTCCAAAGGTGCTTTGACTGCGATCTTTAAAAAAAAAAAAGTACCAAACCACATTTGGGAAAGATTGCTGCAAACAACTGGGAAACATGGATGCTCCTGAAAACAGTGCTGTTGTAAGAAAGCCAAAGCATCCATGTGGGAACAACTTAAGTGATAGTTTGAAGGAGGTGTGTTTAATTTGTACAAAATAACATCTAATACTGCTATTCTGTTAAAATGCATGTGTTTATAAAAGCATCAATATATGCCGTTCACTTTGTCATACAGTAGAGATTCATGCTGACACTTTCTTGTTCTCCAAAAACCATCCCTACTCACTGTTTTAGGTCGTTGACTCTCTTCAGTTGCACTGTTGATGCTACGCATAGAGCCAGTAGTCAAAAAGTGCTGTTTGGAATCCCTGCTTAATGTGAATGTTGATATTCCTGCATTCTGAATCCACGATGTAGAGCCTAGAACATAGATAACAATACTTCCAAGGGCTGTTACAATTTGGCTGGAGCCTCATTTGGTTCTTCATAAATTAAAGCCTACATAAGTTGACTAGAAATCACAAAATGAGCAGAAAAGCTAATAGCAGCTTGCTAGTTTTTGTCAACTGATATGAGGATGCAGTTTTGTCAACTATGAGGATGCAGAAAACAGGCCACTTTAGACAAGCAGTGGGAAGAAGTAAAAGTCAAACTGCAGTGACCCCTTTTTTGAGGGTGGAGGGGATGGGAGAAAAGCTAGACAAAGCTATCTTTCTGCACATCTAGGGGGTTTCCCTGATGTGAGAACTTTGTCTCCCTTTTCTACTTTGTCCCTCTATGCTGCTTTTGCTTATCTACATGGGGTCTAGGAATTTGCAGTAATGTACAGTTGTACAATAGAATGGGAAAGACTAGAGATCTCTTCAAGAAAATTGGAGAAATCAAGGGAACGTTCCATGCAAAGATGGCCATGATAAAGGACAAAAACGGTAGGGACCTAACAGAAGCAGAAGAGATTAGGAAAAGATGGCAAGAATACACAGAAGAACTATACAAGAAAGACCTCGATGTCCTTGACAACCACGATGGTATAATCACTGACCTTGAGCCAGACATCCTGGAATGTGAAGTTAAATGGGCCTTAGAAAGCATTGATAACAACAAAGCTAGTGGAGGTGATGGTATTCCAGCTGAGCTATTCAAAGTCTTAGAAGATGATGCTGTTAAAGTGCTGCACTCCATTTGCCAGCAAATTTGGAAAACGCAACAGTGGCCACAGGATTGGAAAAGGTCAGTATACATTCCAATCCCAAAGAAGGGCAATGCCAAGGAATGTTCAAACTATCGCACAATTGCACTCATATCACACGCTAGCAAGGTCATGCTCAAGATCCTACAAGCTAGGCTTCAACAGTACGTGGATAGAGAACTACCAGAAGTACAAGCTGGGTTCCGAAGAGGTAGAGGAACTAGAGATCAAATTGCCAACATTCACTGGATTATGGAGAAAGCAAGAGAGTACCAGAAAAATATCTACTTCTGCTTCATTGACTATGCTAAAGCTTTTGACTGTGTGGATCACAACAAACTATGGCAGGTCCTTAAAGAGGTGGGAGTACCAGACCACCTCACATGTCTCTTGAGAAACCTGTATAAGGGCCAAGAAGCAACAGTTAGAACCGGATATGGAACAACTGATTGGTTTAGCATAGGAAAAGGAGTACGACAAGGATGTATATTGTCACCTTGCTCATTTAATTTGTATGC